GCCCTTTATCAGTTGGAGGGGGGGGGGGGTCTTGCTCACGCCTGCCCCCAGTGTCACTGCAGCCCCTGGGTTGAGATGGGGCTCCCTCTCACCCTTCCACTGCTTTGTGGGTAAGCAGGCTGAGGGTCTTCTGCAGCCCCTCCAGCCTTGCTGCCCCCGTGCCTAAGCTGTGGAGGGCTGCGGCCAGTAGAGCGGCCCCATGCACCTGCTGCATCCAGCAGCATCAGCCAGCAGGACCCACGTCCCCTCACGTCAGGCAGGATGTGCTTCCCCCTCTGTGCAAGTCAGAGCAGGGGTGGGAGCACCGTGCCCCTTGCAGACAGGGCCCCCTGCCCACCCAGGTAGGAGCTGACACTCCTTACACATGTTGCAGTGTTGATAACTGGCAGCCTGTGATGCCTGTCCCCATGGCAACATCAGGCACTGGGACAGGGTCCCCAGTACAGACCTGCACTGTCAGGGATGCCCCACCCCATGGATGACTGCAGGAGTCATCCTACTCTCCCACCACAGCACCGGTGAGCAGGGTCCTTTGCTTCTCCCAGGCTGTAACAGAGACCATCCTCCCTTGCAACACTAGTAATCTGGACATGGAGCCCCTGCTCCCCCAGACTGGGACAGAAATGCCCCCTCCTCCATCCGACATCAGAAACCCCTTGAGCTAGGGCTGGGACAGGGGCTCCCACCCCTATATATTCCTTCAGCAGTACTAGTCAAGACATGGATCACCAGGCTGGGACGATGGATTCTCCCATTCCTCCATGGGAGTCCCCTCTTTGCTCCACACCTCTGTGGCATTGTTAATGGGCTAGGAACAGTAGCTCAGATACCTGCTTCAACGTTGGTAGTTGGCCAGGACTCCCTACCTCTGTTTGGGAGCCACGGATCAATCACTGTCACCCTGGCAGAGTGCCCATCCTGCTCTAGTGATTTCCCCATGGCAGCATTGCTAAACCAGGTCAGGAGCATCTCCCCTCCCCTGCGCTGCAGCCTCTGATAACTGGGACCAGACTAGCAGGGCTGGGCTGTACATGTAGAGTTGCACTAGGGATATCTGTGCTGCTGTGCATTCATCCCACACCCTTTGGAAAGTAAATACAGAGAGGTCCTTGCTTACCTGAAGGGGCTCTATGCTGGCAAAAAGAAAGCGGGGAAAACCCTTGGAGGTGGTGATAGTAGTATAAATTCATTTCCAGGGTAACCTTGTATCCCTTCTCTTACCAGAGTGGGGCAGTTGGTCTTCTAAGGGCCAAGTTGGGGAACGTGAGGGTAAACTTCCACTAGCTTAGCTGAGCTGGATTTGGACCTGGCTGGAGCTGTGTGGGGCCTTGCTACTGTGTGGGCTTGGCTATGGGAGCTGCATCTGCCTTGCAGCTCATGCAGAGTCTAACATTTGACCTGCTAGGGCCTGAGGAGAGTTGGCCTGAGAAATGGAGGAAACTTTGTCTGGGGACATGCTAGTGCTGGTCTCTGGGGACCTGGGAATACATCTTACCCTACAGTCTCCTGCAGACAGGGGCCTGCAGCCAGGGTGGGAATGATAAGGGCCTTAGAGGGTGGAGTGCTGAGGAACATCACATGCTGAAGCAGTTCTTGTGACCCCCCTTTGCCCATACGTAGTCATATCTCAGCCATGTAGTCACTACAGTGTCCACTCCCTTGGGCAATGCAGTGAGTAAAGTACAGAGCATGTCCTGGGTAGGTGTTCTGGTGGACTATGCAGCCTTCACCATACTCCAGACCTGTTTTGCTTTGTTGCTTGCCCATGATGCTGCTTCTCTGGTTGTGCTGGTTCCCCAGCTGGAAGACTTTTTCTTCCCTGCCACCGCTGCCAGAGGCATCCAGGTAGGGTGTTCCACCCTGGGCCCTGTTCCTACAGGCCTCCAGAGCTTTCTGTGTAGTGAGGAGGCTGGAGGCCAGTTATGGTAGCTGGTAATAAGGACAGTTTGCTCTTTCCAGGCCATGTTTGGAAGAACTACCTTTCTCACGGGTTGCATCTCACATACTGATGTTGCAGACTGAAATATTTCCTGTACTTAAGAGACTCGATGGAGAGCAGGGCCTTGCATGGAAATGTGCTGAAAGATGCATCTTGTAGTCTGTGAAACCCAGTCTAAATGAGGGTGGGACGTGGCACAGGATAAATGGAGTGATTTGCCCAAGGTCGCAGCAGGAGTTAGTGTGCATTGGAAATTCAGGCCAGCTATCCGTAGCCCAGGGCCTTAACCAAGCAGACATGCTGTTCCCAGCAGCCCAGAGGCAGCAGCACAAGTTCAGGTGGGTTGTGACCCATGGGAAGCATGGACAGTAACTGATGACGCTGTTGCTTCAGCAAGAAGTCCTAATTTATAAATCAGTGGCTAAGCAATAAGCATCTTAAAATATGCTTGAGGCCAGGGTCTTGCATATACTCCCCCAGCATCTTAGAGGAGGAGGAGGAGGAGGAGGAGTGCAGCGGGGCCACAAGTTGCATCAACCTCACCAAGCTCTTGGATTGCTTCTGATTCCAGTGACGCTGTATGGTGTGTTCACCAACCACTTCTCTGCCAATGGGCCTTCACGCTGCCTCCTGCTGGAGCTGCTGGATATCAGCGTTTCAGAGCTGCTCCTTCACTCCAGCAATCAGGGCTGCTCCATGTGGATGAT